TGTGGCTGCTGCCCCCGCGGGCCCCCTCCGTGGCCCTGCCCCTCCCCCAGGGCACTCCCCAGCCGGACCGAACCTTCTGGGGAGATTTCCATCGGTCCGCCGGGCCGCCCAGCCGGGCTCCAGCGTGAGCTGTGGCCTGACAGACAGGCGGTCGCGCCCCTTCGCTTCTCTAAATGTGGTCTATGGGCCCAAAGTTTCAGCTTCACCTGCGAGCTCGCCGAAAATACAGAGCCTCAGCACCCTGCCTACGCCTCCTGGGTCAGAATCTGCAAAGTCCCCCGGGATTTGAATGAGCCTAAAACTGGAGAACCTCGACTCTAGGAGACTTTTAGTCTGGTTAAGGGGACAGCGCTTAAGTTCATGGAACCTTGGGGAGAAGGCTGACAAACAGGCACAGGAACCTGTAAACGTTTTTACTGAGTTATGCTGTGCATCAGCAGCTCTGAAGAGGGGAAGCCAGCTTTTAAAAGGCGCTGCCCTTGACGTCAAACTACAGAGAGAGAAAATCAGATGGAATCCCAGATTGGAAAAAAGGAAGCATACGTGCTCATGAGGGTTCAAAGGATAGAAAGTGTTTCCTTCCAGGAAGATCCAGGGAAGCAGTGACCTTTGGGCTGAAGCCGTTGGTGTTGGGCATGGTTGGGGGTGGGAGGCTAAGAATGCAGGACACTCTGGAGTAGAAGAGAATTGCATTCAGGAGCCCCCAGAGTTGCTGATCTAGCTGGAAGGAGTAGAGGAAGGTGAGGGAGGTCTGCTGGCTAACGGGATGGCAGGGAACCAAACTAAGGACCCAGAACTAATTTAGAGGTAATTGGGAGTCATTGAGAGGTTTTTTTTGTTTGTTTTTGAGAGGTTTTTGCTATAGGGTGTGTGCAGTTGCCAGAAAGACAGAGAGAGACAGAAAGCGAGAAATCACCCCCCCCCAGAGTGATGGCCATACCGCAATCCCTCTCCTCCATTCTCCTCTTGGGATCTTGGGCATGCATGCACGTGCGCCCAGTGTGACATTAAGCCACTGGGTCCGGGACTCGAACTGCAGTCAACTACATGGGAGTCTAGCAACATAGCCATTATGCCATCTGCTGGTCCTGCCATTGAGAGTTTTTGAGCAAGGGCATGGCACTGCTACAGTCAGTTATGCCTTTATTCTTCAGCAGAAGGAAAAAGACTGGGGGGTTTTGTACGACACCCTAAAGATGTCTTTGGAGCATAATCAAGTGACGGAGAGTTGGAGAAGATCCTGTAGAAATTCTGAGAATATAAGAGCTAGGGCCTGCTTGTGGCTAGTGGTTAAAGCAGCTGGATCCCACATGGACAACTGCACGGTTCAAGACCTGGACACAGAGACTTGAAAAAACATGCTGGGCCCATGCACGTGGGTGCACAAAATCCCAAGAAGAGAATGGAGGAGAAGGTATTTCCATGTGACCATCCCCCTGGGGGTGCTTTCTCACTTTCCCTCTCTTGCTCTGTCTCTCCAGCAAGCATGTGCACTCTCTAGCAAATTAAAAAGGGAGCAAGAGAGAGCGTGCAAGCTGGAGTTGGGGAGGGGGCTAGATAGAGGGAAAGGAAGTGGCATGCATCCAGGCTTCTGGACACTGGGTGGAGGACAAGGGACTCATGGGGTGGACAGCACAGGGTGCATGTGCTGGGTGCTCTGCCATGGTGGCCCTTGTGCTCTCTAGAAGAGCTTGTCAGTGAACCAGATGACAAGGTGATCCTCCTGAGGCTCCCACGCATGACGCATGACTATGTTACAGGGACGTTCCGCCAGGAGAAGGAGCACAAAGAACAGAGAGATCAGCCTTGGGCCTGATTAGTCCAGAAAGACTTCTCACGGTTACTCTAGGAACCCAGGGCTTCTGTCGGTGAGTAGGAGGCGAGACAGAGAGGCCCAGCGTGATTAGGGACGCACAGGCTGTATCTGCGATGCTTTGTGCTAAGTGGCCTGGCTCACAACCCCCATCTCACCCCTGCCCAGTCAGCTCTGCCCATCATCCAGCCACGATGGCTCCCAAGAACTGGGTATCTGGTTAGAAAACCTCTCATAGCTTCTCCATGTTGAGCAGAACCTGGGGCTCTGAGGAGACAGGAAGAGGAGTTAGCCCAGGTTCTCTCCCCAGCTTACTCTCTGCTGGACTCTCTCTGCATTCTCCCCTCCTCACATCACCTCCCATGTCTCAGAAGACAGTTCCAGAATTTCTACACAGGGAGACCTGGGGTGAACAGACTGATTAGGAGGTGTCATTTTGGAATATACCTGAATCGGCTTGCTGTGTTTGCGTAGAAATACAAGATTTTTTCTTATATAGAATGATTATTTGGGGAGGTTTTGATGGGAAAGTGGGAGGCTAAATCCTTCCCACTCCATCACAAACTGCTTCTTGGTGCTTCCGCTGGGCATGGGTGTAGGAGGGAGCAGGATGTGTGTGGACCGGTGAGCGTAGGGGCAGTAGGAACTGAGAATGCCATGGCTACGTGGGTACCGTAGGACCCAGGCCTTGAGAGGCAGGTGGGATAATGTAGTGGGTCATTGGAAAAGTCATGATGCATTTTTTGCATAGGAAGAAAAAAACAGAAAAAAATATGTTATTACTTTTCTGATGACCCAATAGCATGGCGGTGTAGAATGAAATCTGTACAAAGAACCGGGATTTGGGGCTTTTGGTCTTGCTCTGTGTCTCAGGCACGTTTCTGAACTGTCCTAAGCACCATCCTTCTCATCCAAGGATTCTATGAAGTGTTCTCTTTGGTTTCTGGCACAATGTGACCGTTCAGTAAATATTAGTCCTGCCTCCTGCCCACTCCTACCCCTAATGCTGTCCTTCTAGAAGGTGAGGGACGGTGAGCTCATGTAAGTGAGGGACAGTGAGTTCATGTAAGTGAAGGCATGTTAAAAAGTACAGCGCTGCCAAGCCAGCAGGTTGCATGGTGGTTAAGGCGCTGGATCCCACATGGCCAACTCCATGGTCTGAGTCCCAGACCTGGCAGCTTGAAAACATACTGGGTGGGGCCCAGCAGATGGCATAATGGTTATGTCACTGGACTCCCATGTAGTTGACCACAGTTCGAGTCCTGGACCTGGTAGCTTAAAACACGCCGTGCGCTTGTGCATTTTGCCCAACAAATCACAAGAGGAGAATAGAGGAGAAGGGGTTGGGGCATGGCCATTCCCCCACAGGGTGGTTTCTTGCTTTCTGTCTCTCTGTCTCTCTCTGTGTCTCTAGCAAGTGCATGTGCCCTATAGCAAAAATCTCTAAAATCTAAAAAAGAAAAGAAAAACAATCTGGGTGCATGTGCATGTGTGCCCAAAATCCTGAGAGGAGAATAGAGGAGAAGGGATTGTGGCATGGCCATCGTCCTGGGATATTGTGGAAAACTACCAGTCTAAAAACGTGATTAAAACATGTGTCCTGACATGTTTTAAAAACATGATTTTAAAAAATATTTAAAAATCATATTTTCAAAAGAAAAACATGTTTTAATCACATATTTTTAGATTGGTAGCTCTCCACAGGATATGATTTCTCACTTTCCTTCTTTCTTTGTCTCTCTCTTTCTCCTGCAAGCACACAGTACAGAGCAGTGTATAAATGTGGGCTACATTTTACTTCCTCATTTCTAACATTTTAAAAATTGTTTTATTAATTGCTATGGTAGTAATGTACTTGCTGCCCTTTGCTGGCCATGCACTGTGATTCTGTGATAATTATGTGACTATATGACAGAACTAAATTCTGCATTATGTTCATACTTTATTCCATTCCACACGACTCCTTGAGGTAGGTGTCATTAAAGCTTCATGTTCTTTGTAAAATAAAGAAGAAAATTAAGCCTCCATATTGATAACACCCAAATTAATTATTATTAGCATTGTGGGCATTTCTTTCTAGCCTTTACCCACCATGCATATAGTTATATATTGTATTAGTCCCTTACTGCATTGTTAACAAAAATACCTAAGACAGGCAAATTTATAGAGAATAGAGGTTTATTTGACTCCTAATTCCAGTGACTGATCAGTCCAAAGGCATGGGCCTGGCATCAGGCCACCTACACCAAAACAGAAGAAGAGAGGATGGCAGACATGTGTAGAGAGAGCTGACAAGAGATGATATCCTTTATAACAATCCACTCTTAAGAGAACTAACTCCTATCATGAGAACAAGACAGCATTAGTCCATTCATAAGGCCAGAGCCTCCATGATCCAATCACCAAGATCCAGTCACTGCACATTAGAACTGAGTTCTACAACATGAACCTTTGGGGACAAACCATTATGTAAACCATCACCCATGTGATTTTTTTTTTTTTAAGGTTTTTGCTATAGGGTACATGCGCTCATCAGAAAGAGAAACAGAGAGCTAGAAAGCAAGAAATCACCCCCAGCGTGGTTGGCCACACTGCAATCCCTTCTCCTCCATTCTCCTCTCACGATCATGGGCACTCACGCACACACACCTGGTGTGAGTTTAAGCCACTGGGTCCGGGACTCAAACTGTGGTTGACTACATGGGCATCCAGCAACATAGCCATTATGCCAACTGCTGGTCCCTGTGATTTTTTTTTTTTTAGAGGTTTTTCTATAGGAACCTGTGCTCACTGGGAGACAGACAGAAAGCAAGAAATCACCCCCCAGAAGGGGTGGCCATGCTGCAATCCCTTCTCCTCCATTCTCCTCTCAGGATTTCAGGCATGCACACACTGGCATAAGTTTTAAGCCACCAGGTCCAGGACTCAAACTGTGGTCAACTAAGTAGGAGTCCAGCAACATAACCATTACACTATCTGCTGGTCCCAGAATATATACACACACACACACACACACACATCACATATATACATATATATATATAGTTATAGTTATAGTTATAATCTACTTATGTCCTGTGCTTTTATCATAACCTATATGATGGTGTTTTCGTGTAAAAATCAATTCCATCATATCGTA